AATAATATTCTTCAACACAAAACAAGGACAAATGATACTAACAAGTTTTGTAAGCCTAAAGCGGAACACATCTATATAAGCATATTTTAAGCATATTTTAAGCATATTTTAAGCAATGTTGCTAATCTTTAAATACAATAATAGTCATTCGTTTTGAGAGATGTAAATAAATTTAAAAAATTTTAAAATTAAAATTAAAAATTAAAATTAAATAGATAAAATTAAATAATTTTTAAATAAGAATAAATAATTTTAGATTAAATAATTCTTGAACTTAAATATCAAGAAATTATAATTAACCTAATTGTTCTCATTTAAAATTGCCGACAATATTTTACAAGTGTAAAATATAATATAATGAGAATTTGAAATCTATTCGTAAATTAAAGCATTCGTTAAAATTACGGATTAACTAAAGATTAGTAGAATCAGAAGGAAAAAAATAAAATCATGAAAAATGAAAGCCAAGACATCAAAAGCATTTGTTAATGGGATTTCAACAATGTTTCGTCCTCAATTTGTCGATCGATTGGGCTATTCATCACTTCTCATTTTCGTTAAGCCTAGCCTGGATTACATGAAGATCGATTTGTATGTAGATTTCTATCGAGCTATCGACCATTACTATCAGTGCGCTGAACAATACGATTTTATTTCTGAAATTTGTTTCGGCTTTTCATCTTTGATATCACAGATTTATACTAGAAATGGATTGCTTACTTTGAGCCAAGAAAATGATGATATATATGTGTTGTATGTAATGCATGTATCAGGATTGGGTAATAGTAATTAGTTAATAAGTTATAAGTTACATAAAAAATTAAAACATTAATAACATCTAACTTAATTTAATTAACTTTAAAAGAATTAATTTTTAACATAATTTACTTTAAAATTTTAATGTATCACTAACTTTTTTTAAGTTAAAATACTCTTTATCTTTTAAAAATGTTAATTTTATTTTTTGTAAAATATTAAAACATTAGAAAATTAGTTTAAAAAGAGCTCAATGATTATTTGATGAGCATGATTTTAGTGCCTAAAAATGAATGTGGATTAAATTTGCATTTAAAGAATACTATTAGTGTGTAATACTATCCTTGTTTTACGCCTAATGAACGATAAAGGAAGAATAAAAACTTTTTATTTACATATAATTTTCAAAAAAAGTGCAAGCATAAACAACACGAAGAAAAATACATACAACATTATTTACATTCTTAATAATTAAATTTTTTATAATATAAATATAAAGATATCAATATAAAAATACTAACAATCAATTTTTATTATTCAAAAAATGTCTTTGTTATTTCATATATATATAAAATAACATAATTTATCTGATTATCTATACTGTAATTGTTTTGTTATTTAAATTAAATAATCTGATTTTAAGAAAAAGTTGAATATTCTGATTTAATAAAAGTAATGTTTCTCAGAATTAACTATTTATTTAACTTGAATAAATTCAATTATATCGTATTTTCAATTGTATTAGTTTTTTGTTCGTTCCACTTTTAACTTAACAAAATTAATTTTATAAAAATTAATTTCGTTCGTTAACTTTAACTTAATTTAGCTTTAAAAAATGTATTAATTTAATCAACCTTGATATATATGATATGTATGTTTTGTGCATGTGTGTGCAAAATGATTGGAGCGGTCATTTTTTTTTAATCAATCGAAAATTCGGTCATTTACAGCGATTAGTAAAATCAAAATTAGCGATCTAGTACTAGTATAAGCATCTGTGTTTGATACAAAAAAAAATCAAAGTCTCTTCAATCAATTGATTGTCTCCTCAAAAATTGAAAAATATTCATTCAAAATCCCATTTATATGCCACATCGAGAGACATTTTAATAGTTTAATAATAAAATATTCAATATAATTCCACGACTCTCAATGATATACTCTCAATGATATGTATAATCAATGATAAGTATCTATCATTGATATAACGTATTATTGAAAATATGTGAATTAATCACATTTCATTCATAAATATTACTGATATGTAATTATTCGTATAATTATAATTAGTATATAAAGTTGTAATTATAGTATAATCGTAATCTTGCTATAGCTATCAAACAGAGGGAAAAGTAAAGAAACTTTAAAGTAATCGCATAATGACTTTCCGCAATCCTTAAAAAAATATTCCAAAGGAACGCATGCAACTGTAAGATTCTTGTATAAAGTATAAAAATGATCCAGCAAGACGACTTTATTTTCTTTGCGCGGTATTCCGTAGCCATCACTCAGAGTGATGAAACGAAAACAGATGATATAGTGTAGAAAAAAGTCAAGGAAATTACAAAAGAAAACAGACCATTTTATTCTCACAATTCGAAACGATCAAGTCTTAAACGAGCAAAACTCGATGAGAATGAAAACAAAAATATACTCAAGAAAATTAAAAATTGCAATCGAAAAACATAATTGTACTTTCAACGTAACGAATCCGATCGAGATAATTTCCTTGGAGGTATAAATTTCTCTATATTTAAATCACATTTAACATGATAAGAAATAAATATTTTTTTAGATAATATAAATTAAATCATTTTTAGTACATGATATTATAAATTATATTCCCGAATAAAGCGAAAATGATTAAATCAATCATGCGAAAGAATACATTGTTGAATGTTAAATTAATATTAAAATTAATATCAAAATATGATAAAATTATTTAATTATTATTGATTATTTAATTTATTTTTTGTTTCTAAATAATATTATGGAGCCCGCGTGACTGATGTAAATAATATATTAGGAAATGGCCGAACAATTACGAGAAGAGCAAACAGTTTAGTGCATTATTCTTATAATTCATCGATTTAAAACTTGATAAAGAGATAGCAATTACTAGTGTAATCTTTTTAGATATTGGGATGCTCAGTTATCTACGTTAAAATATTAAAGTCACGATTAGTGTGAGACAACATTCTATAGTCAACCTGAGCAACTATATAAATTAATAGTAATGTAGCGGAACAGAACACTCACATGTTTAACACCTCATTGGTCTGTCAATCTGGACATTATCAGCGATAAATCTTCGGAAATTAAGTAAGCGAAATATTGGCGATTCTATAAATTGCAGCGCTCCAATAGCGATTAAAATGGCGATAAAATTATTGAGATTAGCACATAATTCCTAAGAGTACCAGGTCAAAATTCGTACGGCGACAGTGCTAGAGAGAGACAAATCAAACTTACAAATCTTCTTCGACAATTGGAATTTATCTCTAGAATTAACTTTCTCGACTTCAATTGGATCTATAAGAACAAATAAGATGATTCGACCCGATCTAACCTTCAATTTCCCTTATCTATATCATCTTTTACATCTTTCGAATTTGAAGTTTCATCATTTAAGAGAAATTTTGTTTTTCATTATCAAATCGTATAATATATTATAAAAATAATATACAAAATTCTCATAAACTTAATGCTATTCGGATAAAAGATTAGAGTTCTTAAAAATATTTATACATTATACTCTTTAAAATAAATTATATTATACATATAAAATATAAATTAATCTTCAAAATAAGTTATATAAAAAATTATATAAAAAAATATATTCATCTAAATACGTGCATAATTTTTGGGTAATCATCATTTTACGAGAAGGTATAATAGGGTAAAATTCTTTAACAATTTCTTATTAAAAAAAATAAAATATGAATGCATCTTGATTTGGTAAAAGATAACATAATTTAATAAAATTCTAAATAAAAATATAAACCATAATTTTTTTTCATTTAACGCAACCGTTGTGGACTATCTGCAAATTAATTACAACTCAACTTATAGATAATTCCATTCTTGCCTTCAATGATATATTATTTTGTCTTTATCTTGAGAATTGAAAGATTTGACCTGAATGAGATAACTCCATCAGTTTCATATTAATTCCTTTAGATCTACGATTTAATCTCCAGGAAAATTAAGCGCGCTGAAGAATAAACATTACAGAAAGAACAATTAATTAATATTCTCATCAGAAGAGAAACTGCACTTTATATCAATGACAACAGAAACGAAGATAAAGTAGTTTTGGTACTCTGCAAAGAAAGACAGAGTATAATATATAGCGCTATCTTGTTCTCCATACGCGATACGCATTGCAGTTAATCTTTGTCACCAGAAACCTTAGATAATCGTAAATTTTGACTTGAGAGCGATTAGAGCGACCCTGAGGGATCAAGAATTAGGAGAGGCAATTGGCTGCCGTTAAACTGTTCATTCAGTTGGAAACAGCAGCTTTCCATTAATGGCGACGATTAAAAGCATCGTATCCGAATTAAGTGCTCCTTGAAAAGACGTTTTAATTAAGATTTCTTATTCGCGATGTGACTGCAATCCTAGTCAACCTTATGCGAATTGCATTCTTGTATCAACTTATAATTCTCTCTGGCGTGAGAAGGTCGATTCGTTTTGCCACTAGTTAAAGAGCTTAGAAATAATACTTTCGTCACGCGTGAAGCGATTAATTTCAACAAGACTGAAGTATACATTACGGATACCAAATTCGCAATATTATTTGTTGTTCCCATCAAGAAATATGTTAGATTATCGACTTTTGAAAATTCGATAAAAATAGCCAGCATCAGCGAAGAACAAGAATCCCAATCGACAGTCTAGAATTTGATGAGATCGACCGGGTTGCACTGCGATGCGGTTTCATAACTGGCAATCGATTCCGAATATGAATTCTCTCGCCAAATAATTAAGATCGCGTCGACAGTCCTTACCCCGGCTCACACTCTCGTCTCGTTGTACGGGCTGGACGAGCTCGCGCCCTGGCGACGCTGCCGGTCGGCGTCGCCTGGCACATTGAACACGACGTTCGGCACGGTCACCGGGTCGACCGGAGCTGACTGATAATGCGACCGACCGGGTTGCGATTGGTGAGAATGGGAGGAGGACGAGGGCGCGGTCTCGTTTATGGAGGTATTCGAAGTGAGTATACGTCGACCGCGTACCTGGTAACGTTGGGGATAGCAGCGCCCGCAACAAGACTGCAGCAGGCCGCCCCTGGAGGCAGTGCTGTGCGCGGGGGAGGTCAGGGGCGATGGCGAGCCCGGTCTCTTCGGAGCGCCGTTGTACGGCACCTCCATCTCCACAAATTCGCGGTCCTGGAAAAACAATAACAGACGGGGCTTTTAGGCGAGAAGATTTCATCTGTTTGAAAGTATTGGAGAAGTGAAACGTTGAAGAGAAGAGCCATGCTGTAGGATCAATGATGTTAATGACGGTATTCATTGAACTGTGAAGGTTCAGATAACAAGTGTAAAAACTAGATGAAATAAAAAGATTGATTATAAATTAAAGTTAAAAGACGAAACAGATAAATTAAAAAAAAAATAGAAAAAAGGGAAAAGAGAAAACAAAGAATAACAAAGATAAATTAAATATATATTTGTGTGTGTAAGGATTGAAAAGAAGAGTATTAAAGTTTTTGATGTAGATGCTAAAAAAATCTATATACCGTTGACAATGAATAGAGCAATCAAGAATAACAAAAAGACTAACAGGGTAGAACGTAATAAGAAAAACTATGACGTGTAGAATCCTTCTGGTTCCATTCATCTTCACAAGAAAAAAAAGGCAAGGAGTTGCGAAGCTGAAGGTACTACCAATTCTCAAGTGGAACATATTAATTAGGACATGTCGTATTACTGGAAAGCTTTATTTGAGCCACGCAAGATGAGACATGGAAATACTTTCGTTAAAATATTTATTGCTGAAAAAAATGATGAAAAAACAATATTATTTTGTCAATATCATATTTATCTACAATGGGAGAAATCAGTATGTTCTCGAGTATGTTATAACGAAAACACATCTATGTTTATCACATGATTTTAACTAATTATACATTAGAACTATTACATAATTAATTATAAATTATTTTATCTTTGAAAATTGCTTATCGTAAAAGCAAAATGATGAATCGCCTAATTGCATGTAAAGCACCGCATTGCATCACGAATATATTAGCAGGCATTAGCTTTCAGCATAATCACATTTCGCATTTTCCTGATGATGTAATTTCCCTTTAATATAAAACTTCGCTGACGTATTTTTCATTAAATTTTAATTTCTAACAAATAATAATTTTTCGCTACAGCTAATTAATTAATCCACAACACCTAGATAGGACGCAGCAAAGCATTTCTCAACGCATTGTCGTCACTGACCCAAGTTTGGTCGACCATGTATTGCTTAATATATGTACGAAGTTGCTGGTTAATCCAAATTAAACTGAAACGAGGAAGCAGTGCTGCCCTTTCTGCTGTTACTCTGTTGAACTATTTCACACTTGTATTTCGTCCACGGTTCTATGAACTTCCGCTTGAATTACGTCGTATACATATATTTTACATTAATTTGAGGTGGCATTAATTATAGTTTACATTAATTGAGGTGGCTAATGTTCTAATTACTACTCATACATTATCACATGAATAAGCTTAACTCAAATGCTGAAAAAAAAAAATAATACCTATTATTATCTCAACGTTATTAAGAAAATTGATTTATCGTAAATAATAATTAGTTTCTTCTATCAAAATTTCCCCAGCTAATCATTCAGGAAAAGTTCAATTTCTATTATATTTGTATTATAATGTACCATATATTCAAAATATATATTCACAAAAAAATATTCATAAAATTTTCAAATATTAATGAAACTTTCAGAATATTATATGAACATTTCTTATATAAACATCACTCAATCACTCGCAAGCAGTACGCGACAGAGATGCATTAACTCATAAATATAAGAATCATTTGGAAAAGAATATAAAGAGCGCAGCATTTCGCTTGTGAATTGAATTCTAAAATGAAAATAAAAAAAATATTTTTGATAATAAAGTTTCATTTAAAAATTATTTATTAATTTAATGTGTTTCTCTGAATCTAGAATTTCTAGAAAAATTTTAGTGTTGTCGAATATATATGAAACATTCTCCGAATGTGTAATGATGTATAGAATTTATATGAATAGAATAGAAAAGATATGAATAGAATTTTTAAGGATTATTTGAATGTTGCTCTTACATTCCATAAATATTTCAAGATATTCTGGGATACTCTTTGAATGTTACTTTGAGATATTTGGATAATGGAACATTTTACAAATATTTTAGGAATATTTAGCGTTAGCTAGGCCATATAATTTATGTTAATCAAACATATTTCTATACTTTTTAATAGGATCTTTCTTTATAATTTAATTTTTCGTATATTGTTTATCGAATGGTATTAAAACAATACTACTTGGAAAAATAATTTCGTGCTTTTTGAAAAGAAAATGTGCATATGAACTTTATTACGAAAAAAGAGTATTTCTGAAATCTTGTGTTTCAATATTTTTCGCTCTGATTCCTTTTTTCCTTTTTATTACTTTATTCTATATTTTTTTATTTTATATATTTATTTTACGCAATCTATTATTATTGTTTTATTAGAAAATTGAAATTATTAAAAAAGTTTGGATATAGATACAAAAAAATATGCAAAAGTATATAAATAAGTATGTGAAATTTTGTGATCTGCATAAAAAAACGTGTCTTGAAGAAATCCTGCGGGAATTCGGAAACGAGAAGTTATCGAGTGATCTCAATATCACTTGAACGTCGCGTTCTTAGATGCTGCAAGAAAGGATATTGCTCGTGAACAGAATGGAGCAGTGAGTCTTGATCTCTTTTGCGATAAATACGCTCGAAGAACTCGAGGTCTGCGTGAACATGGCAAAAGCTTTTGCCATGGGATAGATGACGATCGCGATCGCGATAACTATTCCCTCATCGTTTGCATAATTAGTAGATTCTACTATATATACTGTGTAATCATTATAAGATCGTTTCGCTAGATTAGCAAAATGATCTTATAATAGCGTTGCGTGACAAGATACACTTATATATTTTATATATAAAATTTATGTACAAAACTGATGAGAGATAAAAAGTAATACCGGTGCCCTGGTATATTAATATACATTGACAACACAAAAGAAGATAGAATATTAATTAAATGATCAAAAATTCTATATGCTTTAGTAATAAATAGCGAACTGAATAATAAGCAAATTGTAACAGCATTAATATAATAAAAAGAGAGAAATGCAGGCAACTTTTATGAGCTTATCATGTCGACATAAAGTGTTATGCGACACAGTTACAAAAAGAAAGTATCGTATCATAAATGCTTTATCAGCTTTTCAAAGAATTCTCTAAAGAGTCATGCATGACTTTCAAAGCCACAGATGGCTCGCATTTGAACGAACTCGATCTTGGAAAACTACAGGATTACTCGCAAGAGACTATCTGTATTTCAACAGAGACCTTTCAGAGATACGCGATTTGTCCTCGTAAAGCTTTCATCGTTTGAACCAACGTATTTTAATCCCTCGGAAGATTTCCGTAATTTATACAAGAAACAACGTGAGATTATCGTTTATGATTTGTCCCGCAAAATTTACTCGAACAGTTTAACAATACGGATTATTCAAATTTAAACTATTTAAAAATGAGAGAGAAAACCACAAACCAGAATGAGCAACAACGAGATGTTATAGTATTAAAATGTATATGTATGTATATATAAATTACATTAAAGCGAAATATTTTGATTTAATTAATTCTAAGTTTGTTTCAGCTAATACAAAACAATGATATACAAAAAAGATATATCAATGGCTAATGAATATGATATATCAATATTTAATAAGATCATGTTTAAATAGTTCAAACTATAAAAAGGAAATACAATTTTCCTTTCATCACATTCAGATATTGTTTTATTTCTATATTTTTTATGCATTTTTCTTCATACCGAAAATTATCATAATAATGACATTATACTTAAGAAAAAATTAGCACATTGTGCAATAAAATTAATAAAACTCTTATTCATATTGTTATAAAATCACTGTCATTTATGCTTCAATCATTTAAAAGCTAGTTCAGAGTTGAGTCATCAACAACGTTCTCTCTTGAGTCTAATATCATTATTATGATAATTTTCGGTTTCTCTACGAAAAAAAATGTATAAGAAAATATAGAAATAAAACGATCCCTAAACGGTCATGAAAAAGTTATTCTTTCTCTGTTGTCCTCATTCTCAAAGCATGCGTGGATTAAACAAATTTATAACATAATATTATGCTGGTAGTTTGAAATATATCATATCAGATTTGTAAAATAGAATTCATTATTTATTTGTTATTTTTCCGATGTACGAGAATTAATTGAATCTGATATTTAAAATAGTGAGATTTATTGTATGCAGATTGTCGTCAATTTTTAACTCATGGAAATTGGCTCAATATAACGATGAATCAGACATGGAAAAAATAGGATACAATTCATATGATACGATATCTTTTCTATTCAATATCTTTCAATAAAAAGATCTAAACATATTTAAATTTTTTAAATTATTTATATCTTTTTTCTAAAAAAATAAAAAAATCCAAAATAAAATGTTCTATAAATTAATAAGAATTGATTTACAAAATAAAAATTAAGAAAAACATCGAAATTCTTTAATGTTAATCAAGGAAAATAAATTATTTCTCCAAAAAATTTAAAGAATTGAAAAACTATAAACAACAAAGGACATCCAAGATATTTTCCTAAATAATATTAATAAGTAAACATTTATAATTGTGATTTTTTCCAAAACAAAGCAAAAACGAGCATTTAAGAAACTTATTCTTAGTTTATCGATTCCTTATGCATTCCCGAAGTTTTGATATTTAAATTCAGGACGCTCTCTAAATAATTAGCTAGTATATGAGTACTTAACAAGTACTTAATTTTATTTTGGAATCGAATGTTATGCACAAATTATAAAATAACCATACCAATAAATATATGTAAAATAAATTCTTCCTTGATATATGATTTCTGTAAACTCGAAAGATTCAAGATTTTAAATAATAATTAGCTTCTATTTCTTCCTATCTAATATATTTTGTAAGTTATTTATCCAAAGCTGTATCCATTGGCAAAGATCTTTCCTGCTATCTACATAAAGGCCAAATTAGACTAGTCCTTATCGCGTCTCGCCGCGTTCTCGGGGGGGGGGGGGCAACTCCCTCTCTAACCAAGCATAGGCATAAAAC